TAAAAAGTATTACAAATGTATAATAGCGGTGCATTTTACTATTTTTTAAATTGTTGTTCCAATGAGTGTCACATCAATCTTATTCATTCCCTTTAGTATTTTTTGATTTGGAACGCTTCTATGTAAATTAATTGTCTAGCAAAAGAGATAAACATGAATATGAACACTGTTCGACGCGTGAGTTGCACCATTTCTCATCTTGGTTGATCAATGTACAATAGAGTATCTAAATTGGTCACTTCTCCTCTCAATTATTTCACGTCAAGCCAAGTCATTTGTGCATATAAATATTAAGTTTCCTCGCACTACACCAAATCCCTCTCATATTTCATTATTTTAAGACAACTTGTAGCTATATATAAATAAAAAAGTATTACAAATCCACCTGGTTGGGCCATTTTGATTTCATATATTTCTACCAAAAAAAAAAAAGTATCACAAATCCTGTAGTAATGCGTTTAGCCAGTTTTTAGATTGCACATTCAATGAATGAAACATTATTACAAATTACCTGTCCAACAAATCAGAAAGATAAAAAACACAAGGGAGGACAGGGCTGCTAAGCTGATCGAATCTTCACATGCTAAAATGTTTAATTTTGAGATTAAATCTTATTAATTTTGACCAACTTGTGGGTGGAATTTGCATAGTTTCCACAACAGTGTGGGCCCAAAGAATTGTATCCAGCTGGGGATGAGCTACCTCACACGCGAGATCCACAATGTCCATCTCTCATATTGGCTGGTGATATCAATGTGGAGAGGATGCAAACTGATCACTTCTTCTCTGTTTCAGAAACTCCTCCCAATTTTTCCGCACCCCTATGGTATTCAAAAGTTCTCTCCCATTACACCAAATCCCCTTCCATCTTCCATTCATATTTAATTTTAGCATAGAGTTGGTAGAAACTTTAAAGAGAATAAAATTGCATTGGAGTTTCATATCTGTCTGATTGATATTTCTATCTTTAACTTCACCTCCCTTCTCTCTTCTTTCTTTTCCTTTTCCTTTACTTGCTTTGATGGCAACTTATTTAACTTTTTTTTAAAATTATTAGTTTATTTCTGTGATTAGGAATATTTCCAACTTTTTTCTCTAATAATAAACACTCTTATTAAAAGTACATCCCTCACTTGTTCTATAAAATGCATGTTAACGTGTTTTTATTTGTTTTTGCTTATAAATGGAATCAAGTTTTCCAGTCAGTTAATCCCTATTTTTGTATATAATACTTAATTCAATAATAAAACTTATATTATAAAAAAGTGAAAGTGACAGAAAAATTCCTCTAAAACATGCAAATTACCATGAAGTCTCATGAAATGCTATAGTTATTTTTAAGTCCTTCATGAAATTAATGATTTTTGTTAAGAAGAATTATGGCATTTCATGGTATCTTATTGTTATTTACATGTTTCAAGAAAATTTTTCTATCATTTTCTGGTCCAAAATATAAGCATTTCTCCTCAATTAATTTTGGCTTGAAATATAAGTAACCTAGTACATGTAAAAAATTTATTTTACCCCCTACATTTATTAATCTAGATATTTATATAAATATATCTCTTACCTATTATAAATTGCATTGATAATTAAAACTATGAGTAAAAAAATAATATATATTTTTATAGTAACGAGAACTTTATTGGTATGTCAATTTTTTTCAAAAACTATCTATAATTTGAATGAAAAAAGTATATGTAAATCTTCTATATTTTTACCCAAAAAAGAAGGAAAGAAATCTTCAACCTAAGCACATCTCCGACTTGGGAGCTTAGGTCTACCACCATCATTAAATTTAATTTAATGACCCATTTACTCACGTCAGTGTGTGACCACTGAGCACTGATGACCACTTAATTTCTGTTGATATAGAAATAAAATCGATACAATATTAGTTATACAGCCGTTTGCTAAAGTTATACCAGCAGTTTCTTTATTTTAAACCTGTATTATTTAATAAGATTCTTAAATTATTACTCCTTCTGTACCTAATTTTAAGAGAAAAATTATTTAAGTTACGCTTGCCGACAAAACAACAAAAATTATAAGTTAATTTTTTAAAATTATTTCTGCTTTTTCACTTATACCCATGATTAATACTTGTCTCATTTCCAACTCTCTGCCTAGAAAATTTTTATTATTTATTTATTTATCATGTGGATCAAATCGTTTTGGTCATTATTTAGCGATATTTTAGAGAAAAAAATTCTACTTTATTAATTACTCCCCAATTTTTGTAAAATATTTTATACGAAGAACACCATAACCTCAAGGTCAACCAAAAAAAAAAAAGGGGAACACTGGAGCCTAAAAAAAAAAAATCTCTAATTAACAATTAGGGAGGAAGGGAGGGATTACTCATAATTGACTCCAATAAACTTTTTTTCTATCTTTTTTGACAAATATTTTATTTATATCCAAGGCATTAGAAAAACATATGAAAAAGAGTGGGTTGGCCACAGAAATGGTGAGACGCTCCCATTAAATAAAATGCCAAATTGAAAAGCATAAAATAGGAAGCAGCAAAATATGTGGAGAAAATATTAGAAATATGTAAATACTTGTCATTAAATTATTTTAAAAAGTAATTCAGTGAAATATTATATTTGGTGAGAGCAGTGTATCCTCCACCGTTATATATTAGTACTTCCTTCATTAAAAAATATAAGACATTTTTAACTGAATCTCATCTTTTAATAAAATAGTTACACACTTTCAAACTAAACCTATCTTTTCATATTTATCCTTATTAAACACCCTATAATAAATATAAAGTCATTTATCAATATAAATATTTTTAAAAAAAGATAATAATTATATCTTAAAAGACTAAAAATATCTTATGTTTTTAAATGAGTGAAATATCTCTTTTTATTTTGTTTACATGGAACAAATTTACACACTTACAGATTACACGTATCTTCCTAACAGGCTAATCCTGTCCTACAAGGAAAGGTAACCCACACACATACCCACATATACATTCACCCCAAGTCTCTTGAAGATTTGATCCTACAACCTGTTCGAATAAAAAAAATGTGGAGTGCCATTTAAATTACGAGGCTCAGGTCTCACAAATTATTGAACCGCAAACTGAAAAGCACACAACGTCAAAAAGCAGTTTCCTTGCTAGCAAAAACAAAACAAAAAAACAAAACAAGTGCATTCCAACTAAACTTGTTCTATTTGAATATGATAGTCAAACTCAACCCTTTGCTAATGGATGAAAACGCACATTACTTATGTCAAAGTAGCAGGTAATTTTCTGAATATATATTATATCAGATTGAAAATTTGGGATTCTTAATTTAAAAATTGAGCATATGAAAAAATAGGACCATAGAATAAAAGAATTAGATGAAAAATACTCTCTCCATCTCAAGTTACAAGATAATTTAAAATAAGATTACAAGTGCCAATAAAATTTAATAATGACACTTCACAAACTCATTTTTTTAAAAAAATAAAAATATAACTTTAAAAAATACCATTTATTTAATATAGTTTTAAATCTACACACTCAATTATTACACTACAATCATTTTAATTCTCTCTTTTTAAATGATAATATTAGAAAAAAACATTATTGATAAAACGTTATTTCTATCAATTGTCTTATGTTTTAGGATAACAGCTTCCAAAGTTATTTTATAATTTAAGATGAAAATAGTATAATTTTATTATATTTGATGTTAAAGAATAGATTCCTCTTAATCAACGATGATTGGTCACATTGGTTGGTGATATAAAGGTCTGAGTTCTTCATCATGTGAGATTCCTCTCCATCATCTTCATTAAGACCTTTAGAGAAAACACTTTGTGATTATACCAATTAACTCAATCTTTTGGAAACTTGTGATGACATGCCGTTTTCAATTGGTTCATAATTAGTCTAATCAATTAATTATTATTTTTCTCAGTGACTTTCCCTTGAAGTGTCCATATCCAATAATTCAATAATGCACTAAAAGACACTCACAAACATATGTAGCCATAGAACATGCCAAACCACCGCAATTCTTTGACCGAGAATTACAAAAATGAAAAATAAATAAATAAAATAATTAACTGATGTTGATTCAAGCAAAAGGGATTATAATTGTTTAAACATGGGTTCTTGAATTCAAATATATATAGATGCAGAAAATGTTTTTACAAGAGCTATTCCTCCAACTAGATTTAATAACGTTTGAATCTAATTTAACTAAAGAATTATATAAAATAAATATTAAAAGAGAAGACTGTTCCCATATTCAAATTATTTACAATTGAGAATATAACACTCTCATCCTAGTCTTTGCCTGTTGGAACATCACACACGCACGACAACTGGGTATATCTAGATATTTATTGTCCATGGATTCTTAATTGGTTTAATAATCTAGATAGAGCCAATCAAAGTGTATCAATATTTTTTAAAGTGGCACATCATGAAAAGTGATTTCCCCACAAATGAATTGATCATGCCGCTGCAAAATTTATTAATTATGACTCGTTATACTGATTGGTTGGAAGCTGAGCTTAGTGAACTCAGATTATAAAAAAAAAAGGTAAAACAAATATTGATGTCAAATGACTGTCCAATAAGTGCTATATATTTATCCAAAGAAATAGAAAGTTATTATTTATCTTTAGCGTGAACAAAGGTGATGCTGGTTGAATTATGTCACTCGACGAACACAGCTTTGGAGCCTTTAGAGGGTATACAGTGGAATCCCCAACGGCACTACTTATATATATATATATATATGGACATTAAATGAGGGGAGGGTATTTATGTACTTTTGGTAAGAAAACCTCTTTTTTGATCAACAATGAGAAAACCTCTGATCGTCACTTTGCGTCACTTTCTACTTTCCCGGCTTCAAGCCATCCATGGCATCTCTCTAAAACGTTTCACGGACCAACACGGATTGTCAAATTTTCTTATGCCCTTACAATTATACCCCTGGGCACTTTTGTTATTACACGCCGAGTTAAATTCAACGAGCTGATATATCTGTCAGCAGGGAATTGACGGCCCCCAGTTGGAGTTGTGGGTATCCAAAAGATCGATCTTAGTATCCTTGTCTTCTCTTTGGAACATTCATACGCACCATTTCCAGTGTCTTTTTGGCCGCCATTAGAGATCATTTTCCGGAGCCATTACTTTACTCTTCTTTTAAGTCTTTCTGCTACTTGCCTCTCTGAGCCTGAGGCATATCTTTCTGAAGCAAAGTCCGCCACCCTCCCTTTCCTTTTCTTTTCACTACAGTCGCGAAACCCCATTTTTGTACTATGGCTACCTTTTTCACCCTGATGTTAATGGCCGTTCGATCTCACTTTTGAGTTGCGTGATCCCAGAAAAAGAACCCCATTTGCTGGATTAGCTTCAGCTTCTCTGTTTCGTTGTTTTTGAAGACCATGCACTCTTCAATGAGATTAGATTCAGCCGTATTTCAGCTTACTCCCACTCGAACCAGGTAATATTGCAACTTGTTTGGCTTTGCCCATCTGCTCTGTTTTAAACCCACCAAAAAATAATAATGAACAAATGAAAGCGAGAGCTAAGGAATAAATTTAACTCTACAATGGCGAAGTTTTGTTCTAGACCTCACTGAGTAGTTCAAATATTAGCCAGTCCTGAGGTGAATCAATGGGACTTTTTTTTCATTGGGAGAAATACTTCAATTGTTCTCTTCAATTCATTGATGGGCAAGTAATTTAATAACTTTGAAACTAACACAATCCGTTCTTTATGAGTTATAAGGTGTTATCAACCAGTTTTCAGAGTATTTGCGCATTTTTGTCTTAATTCATCTGGGCTTTTATGCAAATCAGGTGTGACTTGGTTATAATTGTGAATGGAAAGAAAGAGAAGATTGCTTCGGGCTTGCTTGATCCATTTTTATCCCACTTGAAGGCTGCTAAAGATCAGATGGCCAAAGGGGGCTATTCAATTATTCTTGAGCCCGACCATGATGGTGCCTCCTGGTTTACTAGAGGAACTATAGAGAGGTTTGATTTTGTATTTAATTGTTAGTTTTTCTTTCAGTGTACATGGGAGTTGAATTGATATTGCTATTCCATTTAATTAAGCTTGCTGGATGTTACGATTACCTCCAGTTCTCAACATGGAACTAGAATTCCATTTTGACCTTTCCCTCTTCTTCTTTTTTGTTAAAATGCTATCCTTGGCCACCAAAATCCCATGGTTATCTCTCTGTTTCTTTTCTATTTCATGATATTGGGAAATACTCCCTCCGTTCCTATTTATAAGACATCTTCTAGAAATAATTTTTGGTCCAAAATATAGGACATTTTGTAATAATTAAACCACTTTTTTTAATTTTATCCCTTCTTGATTAGCGTGATAGTATTTAATATAGTTGTATTATTATTTAAAGTTAAGAGTGAAAATAAAAGTACATATCACTTTTTTATAATATCAAGGAAAAACCTAACTTTTCTTAAGGTGTATGAAACAGTTGAAAATGTAATGTCGTATAATAAGGACTGGAGGAAGTATGCTAGGGAAATGGTTGTCAACCCATGCCTTTGAAAGTTAAACTTGAATGGTTCACTTTTAGCTCTTGAAGTTGAGGTCGCAGACTTAAAATTAGCCATATTGCCAATATTTTCAGAATAGAGTTCTTCCTGATGTGTAATATGTAAGTTTGCATGCTCAACTACTATGATCTCCTCTTGTAGGTTTGTTCGCTTTGTGAGCACTCCTGAGATACTGGAACGTGTTTATACTATAGAATCTGAGATTTTACAAATTGAAGAGGCCATTGCAATTCAAGGCGGTACCACTATAGGGATTAGCTCTGTAAGTAAATATAATAGCAATTTTTGATCATACAATAGCACTTAAAGTTCTTAGTTCTGTTACAAATATCTTCTATTTCTTCAGCAGGAAGAAAACCAAGTAAAACATGCGGAGAATACTGAAGGTGCTTCCGAAAGAACAAGTTTGTGTCTTGAAATCTATCTTTGTGCACAACTAACTTGTATTGAAGAAGTGTTTATGCACTTAAATCCTAGTAATTGTTCAGTCGTAACAAAATTTATTGCATTGCACAGCCAGCAAAAATCTGCAGGACACTAATGAGGAGAAAGCTATTGTACTTTACAAGGTCAGTAGACCTCGCACTCTAATCATTGATAGAGTATAGTCTTTTAATCAATTTTTATGGATCTAGCAGCCTGAAGCACAGCCACCTGAAGCAAATGGAACCACTCAGTCAGAAGGAAATTCCAAGTAAATTCCACATCTCCTGTGATCTTTTCCTTTTATGTTCTGTACTTATCACAACATTAATTAAAAAAAAAATTCAACCAATAGTTAAAGGCTGTAAATGAATGAGTACAAATTTTTTGGAGTTTCCATGTTAGACCTGCATACTTAAGAGGTTTAATTTCTTGTTTATAAATGAAGTGAGTTTCATTATCTATATTTGCTTTGAGCTCATTGAGCTTCTGTGCCCTATTGAGATGCTCACTCCAATTTTACATTATATTAGAGTTCAACTTTTGAAAGTGCTGGAGACTCGAAAATCAGTGCTTCAGAAAGAGCAAGGCATGGCCTTTGCACGTGCTGTTGCTGCTGGTTTAGACATTGATTGCCTGCCTGCTTTGATGTCATTTGCTGAGTGCTTTGGAGCATCTCGCATGATGTAAGAGCAATATCTTCATTCTTTTATTTTGTTCTTGTGAGGTTGGTCACCATAAGATGTTGGATCCATCATGCACACATCAATAAATTTTCTGGACACTCTTGCTGATGTATTTTTATCTCATGTCAGGGATGCATGTAAAAAGTTTATGGATCTCTGGAAACGAAAACATGAAAGCGGTCAGTGGCTTGAAATTGAAGCTTCTGAAGCAATTCGCAACCGCTTGGACTTCTCCCCTGTAAATACATCAGGGATTATACTTTCCAGCATGGCTGCTGCATCTCACACTGAGCTGGACTCCGAAAATAATGGGAAAGCAAGTGCAGGTACCTGGCATCTGCATGTTTTGAACTTGTAAATTCTTCACATTGTCTGTGGCTTTAATTTTGCATCAAAATCATAATAACTGTTTATTTTTTCTCGCATGCACAGCCACTTATATTTGGACTGAACCAGATTTTCACATTTCTGGGAGGGATTGTCCTCTTTATTTTCCTGTGTCATTTTTTGAGCTGCAACACTGAAGAGTTGTCTAGAAATCAGTTAAGATGTTCTTAAAATTTTCAAGCAGTTAACTTAAATTTTATGTTCAGAACAGTTTTTGTCTCACTAATCTATTAGGTGTTGTTCTTCCCCCAAAAAGTTGAGCTACATCACGGATAAAAGTCTCTGTGTGATGCTTATCCAGAAGAATGTGAATTGCTGTTTTAGCATTTTATGAGAGTTGTAGATTTTGGTATCATAAGCAATATAAATTTTGGCCTAATTGACAAATGAAATGGAACATGTAAGTTTCACGAGGCACTTGACCAGCATAAATGTGAAGTCATGATGAGTGACTCACAATTTAATTTTCTTAAGGGAGAAAGAAGTTTCAATTCAAGTCCTCAGCTAAAATTATTATATGGTGCTCCACATTTGTGCTATTATACTTTCCCCTTTAAGTTATGTCTTGAGATTCTTGTTTACTTGTTCCAGATGTGCCTCCAGTGGACTGTCAACCATCTGCTGGCCACCAAGAAAATATTCAAGGCCAATTTCCACATCATATGTACCCTTCTTGGCCTATCAATTCTCCCCCAGGCACTGTGCCAGTCTTTCAGCCATATCCAATGCAAGGCATGCCCTACTATCAGAATTATCCAGGAACACCATATATGCAGCCAATTTATTCACCTGTGGAGGATCCCAGACTGAAGTCTGGTCAAAATATGGGGCGTAGAAGGCATTCCATGGATGGTAGGTACAACAATACTGAATCAGAACCTTGGGATGAGCTGAACATTGAAGGAGAGTGTTCACAGACGGGAGAACGACAGAAGAAGTCTAGCCGATCAGGTAGACAGAAATCTGGCACGGTGGTGATTCGAAACATCAATTACATTACAAAGACAGAGAACTCTTCTGGCAGTGGATCAGATTCAGATTCTGGCTCTGAAAACAATGAAGATAGGGATACTCATGAGTATGTGAAAAACCCAAAAAGAAGAGGAAGTGGTAAAGAATCCTTCAAGAGGTTGAATTCATCTGACAGGGAAGAAGTAGAGCTTGGGAATGATGCAGATGGAGGACACTGGCAAGCATTCCAAAATTGTTTACTGAGGGATGTTGATGAAGATAGACATGCGATTGACCAAGACCAGTTTGAAGTGGGAAAGGGGGATCATCTGAGGAGGAAAAAACATATTGCAGTTAATGATCCTTTAGTTTCTAGTGAGCAAAATAGGCATGAAATTCAAGGTGGTGATTCTATAGATATGCATGCCATCAGCAGGGGATTAACCCACATGCCAAAGACAGCAAATGATGAAGTTTTGTTATCTAGGCGGGCAACCCAGTCTGGTGGTGGCATGTCCCTGGATGATGTGCAGTCTTCAGAAATTGATGGCAGAAGGGTTGTCTATAGGAGGACTGCCAATGATGATTTCATCATTCTTAAACAGGAAAGTCAGTCTGGTAATGCACATCCTTCCTCAGATTTGGAAGCGGTCAATGGACTAGGTTATTCAAACAATAATTTGGAGAGGAAGTCATTGCGTGATATGAATGATGATTCCTACATTGTTGAGTATAGATCAATCCAAGTCAGTGGTGCGGGAGACAATGAAAGAAAAGCTATTGACATTGACTGTGAGTTGCCTATGGTGCATCAGAAGGCAGAAAGATTGTCTAGCGAGTTAAGGAACCATAGCAATTATCAGCCAGATGAATTGAGTTTGATGCCTGAACGAGGTTCTGAGAGGGGGTCATTGGGCTATGATCCTGCTTTAGACTATGAAATGGAGGCTCGGGCTGAAGTTGATACGTCACGAGCTAAGAATAAAGAGTTATCTGCTGACACCAAACCAGGATCTAAGAGATTGGAAAAGGAGCAGAAGTCAAAACTTACTCTAAATAGTTCTGATAGGAAGAAGAATGTGGGGCCAATAAGAAGAGGGAAGAACTCAAAATTGAGTCCTCTAGATGAAGCTAGAGCACGTGCTGAGAAGCTACGAAACTACAAAGCTGATCTCCAAAAAATGAAGAAAGAGAAGGTGTTTACTTCTACTCTACTAGCTCCCCTCCAATTTCTTGCTTTTTATGGGGTTAGCTTAAAATGAAACCTAGTCATTTAGTCCAACCGCTTTGTTTAGGACCCTACCTTAATTTCCAATATCATTTACATTTAAATTTGTCAGTTATATTTTGAAGGTTGATCAACTTCTTTTTTTTTTCCCTCCTTTGGTGGGTTTCCTTTGCTCATGTCATGCAGGAGGAAGAAGAGCTTAAACGACTTGAAGCTTTAAAGATAGAGAGGCAAAAGAGAATTGCTGCCAGAAGCGGCTCAATCCCTGCACAGTCAACTATGCCATCACCACTGACCAACAAACGGCTTCCTACAAAACTTTCGCCAAGTTCTCATAAAGGTTCAAAATTTAGTGATACTGAGCCAGGATCATCCTCACCGTTACAAAGGTTGCCTGTCAAAACTGCTTCTGTTGGATCTAATGATTCAAAAGCCTCAAAATCCAGCAGATTGAATGTTGGAAGCCACTCAATTGAAAACAGTTTAAGCCGATCGGTGCCATCACTCCCTGGATCCAAGCAAGAGAAGGGAGGTGATATAGCTGATACTAAAGCATCAATGGCAAGGATTAGAAGATTGTCAGAGCCTAAAATGAGTACCGTCCGTCAAAATTCTACAGTTAAACCACAGAGTACTGCAACAATATCAAGGACCAAAGCGGCTGATGGAACTGAGATCAAAAAGATTTCTGCCATTGTTAATCATGATAAAAACAAGACTGCAACCCTCCCTGAATTGAAAGTTAGAACAGATAAAGCAACTAACGTTGCCCATAATAGGTCATCAGTCAAAGAGAAGACTCAGAAGTTAAATGGTGACAAGACTTCTTTAAACTTGGAAGGTGCCGTGCCAAAGAAATCTGTCAATATAGATTCATCCCATGCTAATGAAGATGATAATACCATCATTGAGAAGTCTGTTGTGGTGCTCGAGCGTGAAAAACCTTCTGCCCCAGCTGTACCTGTGTCTGAAGAAAAAGTTGGGGTGCAGGTGTCAGAGAAAGAGAAACGGTGTGATAATTGTGAAGCGGCAGAGAAAACTGAGACTGTGTCCGATTATGTTGCTATTCGTTCACCAGTTTCCTCAAACATGGACATAGTAAATAGAGAAATCACAGAAAACCAAGCACAACGACAACCCATATCTACTGAGGTATTGTTGTCATCAATTAAAAGTTTCTTCAATGACAATTAACTATCTCATTTGTTTACTGTTTTCAGATGATGTGATTGTGTTTTATAAGGCATAGAAATTATAAATGATTTATTGTTTCTTTCTTATTGGAAGGGGGGAAAGTAAAGGTTACGCCGGGCCTTGGTTAAGAACTTGCCGTGTTGATGATTCTTCATCCTGATTGGTAATTGTATTACAAGTATTGTAACACAACAATGGTTCTACCAAATGCTTCTTAAAAAATTCATTATTCTGCCCAATTTTTGAAAAATTCAGATACTGTGAGGAGAGAACTCTATGACTCGTTCTTTATTTGCCAAGAATTAAATTTTTTGGTTGGCGGTAATCTATTATATTTAACCACCTTTTAACTATATGGGTAAGAAATTTTAACTTCGTTGATTATCATAGACATGCTTAAATTGTAGATACAAATACTTCCTGCCTTGGGGAAATTCGTGTTAACATTAGCTGATCTTGAATATAATCTCCCTCAAACTCAGGTCAAATTGGATGGTGTTAAGAAAGGACCTTCAAACATTGGTATTGATAAGGAAACATACCATGCTCCATATGCTCGAGTTTCTTCAATGGAAGATCCTTGCCAAGGAAATTCTGAGTATGGCAAAGCACCCCCAGCAAACTCAGAGATTGCTCCTTTTGTTACGGAGACTGTTAGAGCACATGGATCTGACTCCAGAAGCTCAACACTTGAGAAGATTCCTGAAGTAGTTGAGAAGCCTCAGGTAAAAGAATCATCAAAAGGTTTTAGACGTCTATTGAAGTTTGGAAGAAAGAATCATAGCTCAGCTACTTCTGGACCCAGTGTGGAATCAGATAATGCAAGCATCGACAGTTCTGAAGCAGATGAGATTAGGACAAACGGTTCTTCTAAAGAAGGTGAAATGTCTCTCATCAGAATTAGGATAGCAGCTTAGTATCCTTTACCATTTCTGAAAGATAACATGCATCAATTTTAGTGGTCAGTTTGTTCATAGCTTACTGCTAAAGACAAAACTTGCACATTGAATGAAGTCCACATATCCTAAGTTCACTAGAAGATTCACTCCCCTAAAACAGTTCCTCACTTGGGCCTGTAGTGGCTACGTACTACCTACTGTCTTAAAAACTTCAACACTAAGGCATTCTCTTGCCCTTTCGTAGCCATGTAAAGGCTATACGGGGATAGGTGTGGAACCTATAATGTTTTCAGGTTTTGGAGTGTGGGGGAGCTATAGGTTAGAAGATTCAAGGTTATAACATTATGCTCTAGCATTTTTTAAACCAACTTATTTGTCAGTGATTGGTACGGAAGCTTAGGTGGTATGGGATGCCTAAGTCCCACATTAAGCATCAAGTAGCATGGAATGTTTATCGGGGTATTTAAGTGGGCTGAATAGATAGGTAGGTGGGTAAGTGGGCTACACTGGATATTGTTCTCCTTGCCTTTGGCCTGATCCTTTGTCTTGACAGCTTAGACCACCTACTATCAAGCTTTCACATAAGATTTTGGTCCCTTGAATCACTCCTGAAAAATTATGAACATGGACTACTGTAAATGAAATTTGTCAGTCCGCCATATTTGACATGGCTGATATTTTATCAAACTGACTTTTAGTTTCCTTGTCACCTTCAGCTTATACTTTAAAGAATTTAATATCTCAGGATGAAACTTCCACTGCCAACACAACTCCGCAGAAGTGTAAGCACTTTTCTCATGTGCAGTTTTCCTACTAAACATCAACTCTCACTTTCTCTCTGGCTGCTTTTCTTCATTATAGTCACGTATTCTTATTCGTAATACAAACATGAAGTCAAATATTATTCTTGTGCAGCGTCTCGTTCGTTCTCCTTGTTGTCACCCTTCCGAAGCAAGAATAGTGAAAAGAAGGTGATGATGGCCTGATAGTGACAGTTTTATACTTGCGAGATTGATGCGGCGACAAACCGAAAGTCTTGCTGTTTTATCTTTGTACATTCTTGTTTGATTGGTTTGGCCCGAAAAGAAAATGCCTCATTGTTGATATGTGAATTGTGTTTATTAGAACTTTTAACTGGTCATATAATGGACAATAGATGATGTTTCAAATATTCGATCAGAAATGAGGTTTGACAAGTTTGGCTTGACCCGATTTCTGTCAAAAATTTCTCAACATGATTTTTTCTTTTTTTTTATGGAGAACGAAACGTCAATCCAGGTATATGAAAAAAAAAAAGAATGAATAATTCATGTTTGCTAGACAATGAACATGCTAATTAGAGCTTGGAAAACGGGCCAAGCCCGTTTAAACCCATATAAGAGTAGGGCCGGACTTGTAAATAAAACTGTAAAATGGTAAATTGGGCTTAAACGGGCTGGCTCGTTTAAACCCGTTTAATTTAAGACTTAAAAGGGCCGGCCCTACAAGGCTGAGGGTCAGCCCATTTAAGCCCGTATATGTATTTTTTTAATTAATTCTCATGATTTTCACTCTTTTTATATTTGAAAAAAAAATTAAACTAAATTTTACTCCACATTACATATTAGCCCATATTTATTGAGGATGGAAGGCAAAAAAAAAGAAGGAAAAATAGCAATGAAGAATCACTGATCAAAAATTATATCAATTAAGGATCATTTGTTGTCAAAATTTGAGTAGATATTTGTGAATTTGAGTTAGCCTTTATCAATAAGTATTCATTTAGATTTTAATAATAACTCATTTTAAATTAACAATAGTTCATTGTAACTTGTTTTTCATTCAGGTTTTGACAACAATTGATTCTTAATTGATATAAATTTCATATAGAAATCCTTGGCTACTATTTTCTAAAAAAAATACAACCTTAAATCTCCTAATTCATATAGATCCATGATAATGATTCATTCAGTTCAACATTTACTCTTCTAATTTTGATTGGGTGTTTGTCGGCTTAGCCGATCCATTGCTTATTACATTGCTATTATTTTATTTGTGTTTTTAGTTCATTTAGATGTTATTTAGTTAGTTTTTTTTGTACCTTTCTTGATTGAGTATTATATTAAAATAAAATATTTTTTTATTTGATTAAAAAATTTAAAAAAAAATAAAAATAATTAAAAGGGCCTAAAGCCCGCAGGGCCAGCTCTGAGCCCGCTATGTCAAGTGCCGGGCTTCAAATATCAGGGTCCTAAAGGGAACTCAAACTTAAAAGGGCTGGCCTTTTTAAACTCGAGCCCTTCAAGGGTTGGCCCTTTTTACCAGCTCTAATGCTAATGAGTACATTCCCTGTATACATGACTTTTTCCCCACACGAGCACCAATGCACCATCCACAAAGCTCCATCAAATTGCAGTAGCTTCAGATCATATTACGTGTCGTAACAATTAGTTGACAAAACCTTTTTTTTTTTTAATTATAAAACAAAATACAAGCAGAACTAATTAAATATTACAAGATCTACTAGCCTACGAGAATAAGAACCAGCAGACAATCTAGGTAGAAGTTCTAGCAACACACATTCGGAAACCTGAGCAATAATTTTGAGGGAGGTCTGCATGAAGAATCTGGCCTGTTTTGAGTAAATCAAGACAATATGAATATCAGTTCAGTTATCCATTTGACGCAATCTTAACTTAATAGTCTCCGGGACAGAAAGCATCTGAGATTTCTTCAAATTACATTCCCTTCGCTTGGTTACACGCCGAAATCATGGTAGATGAGAACTTGGGAGCAGCTCGTTCTATCTCTATTCCTTCTTTGAATCATCCTAATGTCAACAAACAGAAACCAACCTTTTCCAGTATGAGCACAAGGAAGATCAACTTTCTTGATATTGACAAAACCAGTTATGCTAGTGAAATTATAATATTTTAATGTCTCATCAAGAGTATAAGTTTATATTTTATGTTTAGCTTGAATATCTGGTGATATAAATGTAAAAAATGAATGTAATTATTTTTATTAATAGGTAAATTCTCTCCTCTTCAATTTTAGGGTAGTTTTCAGGAACCTTGATTCAACACACGCATCAAACTAAATAACTTATCCGTAAAACTATAGCAATTTTTTGTGTGGTGTCACTGGCAACCATGCTTACTCTCCATGTAATGTTCTTCTCTCTTCTTCTTCTTTTTTTAATAAAAATGGTATCATCATTCATCAAAAGAAGTTACGTGGAGGCCATAGATGGACTTGGCATCCTTCCATCATCCTCCCATCGAGTGCGGACGCAAGACCTGAGCCAGCAGGAGCGTATTTCTTTTATAAAAATAGTAAAAAGCAAAGCATATAATTATATGACTTTTATCAGAAGAATTATATAAAATTTAATAATTAGGTTTGATAGAAAATAATTTTATTAAATTTATCTTAATTTATTTTTTTAAAAGAATTTCTGTCAGGTAAAGATTTGTTACTTTCCTTGTTGATAATTTTCTCTAAAAATATTTTCATTATCATGTTCAAAAATCAAAAAAAAAATTGCAATCTACTAATTCAAAATCATGTTTTAACATGAAAAAATAATTTAAATGAATAGAAATAATATTAAGGATCACAAATTTAAAAAAATTACATAAAAAGTTTAAAAACACATTTTAAACAAAGATGCATAAAAAATAAATGATTTTATGAAATAAAAGTATGCAAAGTAAATGAAAAATTTTTTGTGCTAAAAATAAATATAAAAATATTTTTATTTTGTTATGATATATTTTTGTATTAGTTCTAAATTTGTTGAAGTAAAGAATAAAAGAAATGATTTATAAGGATTTTAAAATAATATAATATTTCATTTGATAGTTTCCCTTTTCCAATTCCCACTATGAGCACCCTTTTCCAAATTGCATCTCTCTATAAACATAGAAAATGCACCTTCTTTAACCATGAGATTTCTTCTGTGTTTTTGTGGCCGTATAAGATAATTTGTTTTCAAACTTTCACGCCTGTTTTCTGTCTTAGAAACAGAGCTAAACAGGGTAAGGTCTTTTGATTTTAAAAAATACTTATCCCTCTCCACCCAGTTAGACCGGTCATACTAAACTAGTATAAAACCAGCAGTGAAATGATATAACAGGAACTGAAGATTGCCATTAAACACCTGCGCTCTGCTATTCCACCAACTGATTAGATCAATAAGCATGGTCTTTGTTTCTTCAACCTCATCCACTCCTCTCCCTTTCATGTCATTCCTATTCGGGCCAATTAGATATCACGGCTGTTGTCACTCTCTTCAAATACATCTTCAAGCACCATTGTCGTCTTTTCTATCCCTGTTTCTTTCTTAACTCTCGATTCTCAACTGGGCTCGCTCAGCAGGTGGGATTAAGGGACCAGGAGAGGCAATGATACAAGTATCAATACTAGATACAAGGTTTCTGGAAAATTTGAGGGAAGCAACTTGCCCACCCTGAAAGCAACATAGGTCCCGCATCTGACTCCATACCCCTACAGAAAATAAACTAACTGTCAAGGATTTTAAACTCGGCCCCCTTCACTGACTTATGAATGGCCTGCTTTTCAACCCGCATTCATTGAAAAAGATCAAGTTTTCAGAGCGGAATGTTGTCTCCGCCGTGCCAACCCGGAATTTTACGGCAGCCATACACACACGCTACTTTGATTATCTGTAAGACTTTGTTTTTCTGACGTTTGTGATTTGTCCCTTATATTTCATCAAAAAAGAGAGAGGCCATGAGTACAATCGGAACCGAGATTACTTGATTTTTTCTTTCTGAAAGGAATTACTTGCCAAGAAATAAATCAACCATATCCCAATCAAATTTCGCCTAAACACAAGATGACGCTCGGAGATATAGACGCATGCCTTCAGATTTGACGATATGGCCGACAAGTTCTCTATCCTTCCGAAACACTTCGAATGCAAATAATGCTCTCAATTTTATCGAGGTACACAAATAATCCCTTCAGCTCTAAACCTAAGTTCAAATAAACTTTCGTGATTATTGTTCACAATTAATGACCACTTGCTGTCATTTCCGAATGAAATACAGGCCATGAAAGAGGTTAAAATCAATTATGTATACGCCAAATCTTGAAGTCAATAACACTTAGTTTTGGCTGGAGGGTAGAGATTTGAATGGAGCGGGTGGAGGGGAGAGGTGAGGCGACGGAAAATTACCCTCCAACCAAAGCCTAGTTAATTACCAGCATGAGGTATTGCTAAAAACAATCAGCATTCTCAAATGGAAACAATTCTAAAAGGGCAAAAAAAAAAAACGAGCTAGACATATCCGCAGACATTCCAACTATTAAGGACCAACATCAATACCCTAACAATAAATATTCCAAAATAAAACTTTCTCGTCTCCAAATGACGTAACTCATAACATCGAAGGTGTACTGCTCGAAAGAAATGCATAGCAAAAATTTGAATATAGCTCACAACCTAACGCCTAAGCGCTCTTCTTCAGCTTAGCAAGTTCTTGCTTTACAGCAGCTGCTCTCTGCAAGAGATAAACAACGTAGGTTAGCATCAACTGCCCCAACAATTAAAGAACACAAATGACACAACTAGCCGGTATATTTAGACTGCAGATGACTAAAATCAATGAAACTGTTCAACAAAATACAAGATGGTGCAAAAATCAGATATGAAAAAACGCAAGTAATCAAAATCCCACCTTGATCTTTGTCAACATTATCTTGAACCTATCGAAATCATTGAGAGATGCCCTTCTCTTCTGGACAATCAGTTTTCTACCCCAAGAACTATTCTCCCACTTCTTCTTGACATCTGTAAATAAAAACAATTATTTACCAAACATGATATCTTACGTGAATAAAATACTCAGCAAGTATTTCAACAGTTTACCCACCAGCAGCTTCCATTGCTTGAAGGAGATCCTTCTTCTTAGGAACCCTCTTAATATCAATCTTAATGTCAGTGAGGGAGAGCCTCTTGAAATTCATTTGAGATCTCACCATATCAGGTGCGTCAACAAGAGCCTGAAAACATATAGAAGACAAATCACACTAAAGATCCAATTCCAAATATTTAAGAGCAAGCATGTCCTCAAACAATGGCCAAAATGATTTCAAAAATAGCATGAGCACTCCAACTTCTCAAGCAAGTAGAAAAGTGAGTTCCTCACAGACTTTGGTATTTTCATAACAAGTCCATCAATAACCCCTAGTTGCAAAAATTGTTACAATTATCAGAAAATAGCCTAAAGCACTCAATTGGAATACAAATAACATTTCTGGAACAACACATTGATGGCCAAATGGAATTTAAATTCAAAAAGTATCCCCGGGGATATCAAAGCAAGGTGAAAGCTCTCTATTAAGAAGTCAAAGATAAGTTTATAACAACCTTGCTCTCGAGCGCTCGTGATTTACTTGATCAGTATCTCGATTAAAAATTTTTAAAATGAAAATTTATAGGTAATTGCAGCACAAACCGAACCAACAGCGTTTAGATTGATTGATAGCAACGAAGTTTTAAGACGTAAAACGAACAAAAAGTCGCCAAATTCAACTAGTGAAAACCCATGTTCAATTACTTCCCAATTTTCCATAAAACCTAGAGCAGCATACCGATTACTAGGAAAGCGCGTTAATGTAAACTATAACCTGCTTGTTGCTTGGGAAGCAGTAAAACCAAAAACGAATGCTGACTTCCTTACACGTGTTGCTTCAAACTTTTACGTCCTCAAACAAATGAGTGACCCCGAATGTGATAGCAAGTAGAAAGTAACAAAGACGAAAAAAAGAGGCATACCCTGTTCTGGTCAATGACATCGACAATGACCACGAGCTTACCGTAGTCCTTGCCATAGTTAACCAGAGCAACCCTCCCGATCTCAACGTACCTTTTGAAAGGCTGCGTGACAGTGCAGGGAAAGCATAAAAAACCAATCAGCGTAAAAGAAAACACGCAACAAGATGGATACACAAAGCATACATAGCCAACAAGAGCCTAGGGTAAGAGGCATCACCATTTTCAGCGGCGAAGACTTGAGGGGAAAGAGAGGCGGGGGAAGGAGATGAGAACGGAGAGATGGTAGACGCGGAACTAGGGTTACTGGGGTAGCCATTATATATATAGAGCACGAGTGATATAGTGCATATGGACCGGGCTACTCGGATCCAGCATACCGCCCGGAAATTCATGGGTTTCTCAATTGATAATTCAAGTAGTCCTTTTTTAGAAAGGCCCATCTTTGTTTCACCCGGAAAGAAAACAAAGAAAGGCCCACCTCATTGTTTTAATATGCCTGAGTTATAACCAAAAAAATCCTGGAGATGTAGTTAATGGCGTTGAATTATCCAATGCAAAAACCAAAATACTGATAAAATATAATGACGGGGATTTAAATAAAATATTATGTTGCATTCAAATGAAGGGATTTAGACTTGGATTAGAGTTAAATCTACCATTTGGATTCATAAAAATGTATGAATTTAAATTTAATTTAAATTAATATTTTATTATAATTTGTTTATAATTTCAAATTCATCCTACACCTCATCATTTAAAATGCTGGCTATTCTAGCTCTTTCACATCTCTTCTAGTTTTGTTTTCCTTTTTGGATTTAAATTTTCTAATGATATTTGAGTAAAATATTTTTCATATAAAAAATTTGTGTGAGTTAGGTTTTGAAAGCCTTACTAAAACTAAGACATGCTTTTAAATTAAAAAGAAACAAAAACTTACAAATGTATTTATAAATTATTCACCAATAAAATCTTCACATTGATGACGGGATTAAATCCCACGACTTTTTAAGTTATGAATTGAATTCTTATTAATTGAACTAACATTTTTAAGTAATTGAGTAAAATTTACATTTCAAATTTTAAATCTGAATCCACCCATATAAACAATACCTTAACAAATTTTATGTCCACGTGGAAAATTGGCTCCCAGCATACCTTTCCTTGGGTGGGGAATCTTTTGACCACTTATCCTAGATATTTTGACTTGCTTTGTCTTAAAGTTGCTTTACCATAGGTTAAGGATTTTTAGCTTTTCGATGCCCTTCATACCCCAAGAATCCTTGTTCTTTGTCTCAAAAAGAAACTCCTTCATTGCCTTTATTCAAAACATCCCTATAAAAATAATAAAAATAATAAAAATAAAACTCTAGTAATAATGTTCGTAAAATAGCAAGTTGTTTCTCTTCTTAACCTTGAGTACCACTCATGATGGTTATCTCTTCAATTCTTCTTTTAAAACTTTTTTTTTTTTTGCCAATCTTTTTAAGATTGGTTAAACTTCGTGTATCATGGTAACTTTTATTTTTTTTGAAATAATTATTTTGACTTTATTAACCAGCAACAATACATGTGATATTTAGGTTTGACAGTTCTCTCCCTCTGCGATATTTAGTATTTACATTGACACATTGTGCATTTTCTAATTTATTGTGCATTGCTACTAATAAGACTTGATCCAACAAAAGGGATTAATTCTTTATAACGTAACAAATTAATATTTAAATATTTAATAAAAGATGTGTTTACATTCAATATTTAGGCTTTGATATTTTTAGAGTTGAATATTTACGTACATTCAGATTTCCATGGTCCTCACTTTTATTCGAAAAGGTTTACCTTTTTATTGGGAAAAAAGGTGTTGCATTATTATTTGACACATTACAATTAACGAAAAAATATTATGGTTTCTCAAAATTTGTAATTTTTTCCCAATAAATCATATTCTTGTCATGGTAAGATGTTTTTCATTTACTAAAAATTTGCATTGTTAAATATTCTTATATTGTCCTGAAGTGCTTCTGACATCATTAATAGCTAATTAATCATTAACTCAACTTTACTTTGCCATCAAGTCATGCAGTTAAACTTTGTTAACAAAATTAAAATACTGTTTAAAAGTTGAAATAAGAAGTATTTCCTCCCTACCAAATTATAAGATAATATCCAAAGATTTTTATTGTTTTAAGATAAAGACAATTTAATAAAAATAATATCTTGTTAATAACATTTCTTCATATTATCTTTTAAGTATTAGGAAAATTGAAATGGTAAGAGATTTGAAATTAGTTGGAAAAAAGGAAGAAGAAGGACAATAGAAAATTTACAATTAGCTTCGCACAGAGAATGGCACGGCTGTGGCTGATTGGGTGAATAGGGGCATGCAACAAATTGCGTTGTTTGCATAAAAAAGGTGTTGTCGACATATCAATATATTTCGGACTAAAAAAATATATCGGTATATTTATAATAAATCTATATGAAATTTAAAATTTATTCTGCATGTAATATAATTCATCTTAAGTAATATCAATAATCAATAATCAATTTATTCTATAAATTAGTATATATAATATACAATTGTAGGCTTGTCCCAAAAATAAACTACAATGTGTTGGGTCCTGCATTATTTATAAATGATGAATAGTATCACTAGTCTTAGACTTTATACTTTCTTCAACTCACAAGCCTTGCAATTTAATTTGTGGGTTAAAAAGCATTTATACCTTTGTGCCTTCCTCCGAAGAGCCCCTGGCACGTTATATCATTAAGTGATACATTTATATCCCTATACAATTTTTCTCAGGTACAAATTTTCTCTTACATCAAACTCCTGTCATGTCTCCTATTTTGTGCTTATCTGGCTCTTTTGTGGGGCTCACTTTTCTTGACACTTAGGCATTTGACTCACATTTTTGACTTGGTGGCAAAGCTCTTCCAATAAGATAGGTAGAGTTGAACATACATTAATATAGAAAACGCTTTTTACAATAGTTAAAAATGACCTTTTACAATGGTTAAGCAAGCGATGTTATTTCAAGGGATATAGAATGTCCCTAATTTTCTACATCGATTATCCAACCTATGTAAAAAATTTATTTTCTGCTTTAGTTAGATATAGCTGATGTAAAAAACATAAATAAAAAAAAAGAGACACGAAGCACTTTCTACATCAATTGGAGAGCTCAACCAATATAGAAAGTGTCGCATTAACTAATGTAGAAATATACTTTGTACATCGGTTATGATAATAACCGATATATAAAATCTTTTTTATTTTTTTAAACTATTGTATCTATTTTTTTAATTATATCCATCATTGTACATGAAAATTGCCACAGCCAAACTAGACAACACAATTTATTTGTAATTTTCAATGCAAAATTAAATTAACAAATATCTATCAACTATCGAAAACTAACAACTATCTATCAACTATTAAAAACTACTCAAGTATCCAAAACTAACAATTGTCTAAATTGTATAAAACTATCAAAATTCTTACATATCAAAATTTTTCACAAAAGTTTTCAAAACTTGTATACAACTAACAAATTTATTAAATTGTATGAAATTTTCTATAAAACTTACAAATTCTCCTTAAAATAAGTTACCCAACTTATGTGAATGTCTTCAATTTCAGTTTTGAGAAATGGCTCCGAATTTTTGAATATTCAAAATATAATTTGTAAAAGAGGTTTATTGACTAATTTCAAATAACATATTAAAATAATACTTTTAAAAATATATTACCTCTTTTATAAATTCGATCATACCCAATGTGATGATGTTGAGCATATGTCTCATCACATAAAAGCTGCACAAGTTCATCTTTACTGGTTGTCTAAGACTCTATATGAGAACAAATTATAAGAAATTAGTAAAAAATTATAGTAACTGAACATATGCATAAAGTGTAGCATCAACTTTGTCTCGATCTACTTGAGATTCTTGAGGTCATGTCCGTACTTTTACAAGACTACATTTTGATATGTTTTTATTGCCCCATGATCAAGATTACCAAATTAGTAACTAATATATTCAAAAAATAAATAAATTGAATAGTTTTGCACAATTATACTTACAAGTCTATCATATTCTTCATTTCCTTCCCAAGGTTGTAATGGAGGGAGCATAATAAAGTGTATAGCCAGTTATTATAATTATAAAAACTATACCGTCTAGATTTTTTACATCGTTTGCTTTTCAAACGATGTAGAAAGTACCCTTTAAATTTTCTATTTCGTACTGGTGCCACTTCTTCATTCTTCTTCTTCCCCGATTTTGACCACCCATAATCAATAGCTTATGATGCTTGATACCTCATTATCATCAACTACAAGTAGTAAAAGAAGGGTTGCTTTGCTCCAGTAATGTGGTGGTGAGCGAGATTACAAAGGGCCATCAAGGTACTGTCATTATGGCATGTTAGGCCCTCAATGGACTTCATAGAGCGACAACAACCTAAGGAGAAAGTTCTATGGTTGCCCAAACTATCACCAGGTAAATTGAAGCTTTCAATTAGTTCGCTGTATGAGTTTGGTGGTTTTTGAAATGTTTAGAACTAAATGGCTGGGTGGTGGGTATGGTTACTTTTTATGGCATGATGAAAGATTAGGGAAAAGGGAAAGGAATATCATACATGAGTTGTTAGATCATATTGATAGGTTATACAATGAGAAGACGATGTTGAGAGGAAGAGATGAGAAAGAAATAATATATGAAGAGCTTGATGTTGTATATGCAGAATTGAAGGATCATGAAGAAATAGGAAAAATATGAAATTGATCTGGAGATTGCTGAGAAGAATAATAAAATTGCAATTATTGCTCCTATTGTCTCTTGGGTCTTTTTCTTTTTCTAGAAAAGTGTGTGATGAAGTTTTATGTTACTTATGGAATGAATGAATGATAAATAAGGAACATGTTGGAATTGCTAGTATTTGAAACTTGGTGTTTATGAGTTTATTTCATCTTTGTTGTTTACAACTTGCAACCTATATATGCATACACTGAGCAAAATTTAAACCTATTTTATTCCACCTTTGAAGACTTATTTTGTGGTCCTTTATTAATTTAGATCAATGTATTTCAACCTGTGAAGTTTGATACTCTTGAAAAAAAATAATATAACATACATATCAATATAAGTGATTCAATTTACAACAGTGAACACATAGATTGTTTAAAAAGTGCTCCCTTCCAACATTATAACATACATAAAATGTGTTCTTTGCTAACATTACAACTTACTTAGAAAGTAGTCCTCGCCAATAATACATTCATAATACTAACAACTATAAATACCCC